TATGTGTGAGCTTTTCAGAAGAAGCCTTCTTGTGGTTTGCTGATGGGGGTCTCCTGGCAATTCTTTCAATCTACGTGATTTTACATGCCCACATACTCGTAATCCAATCTGAAGACTGTGCGCAGGACCTTCGAAAGACCTACAGAGCCATTTTGGAGCTCACATTGAAGCCAATCAAGGCAGATGGAGAAACATGCTGTGAGTGGATGGAAAGACGATTCACCAATCTTTGTGTAGATTTCCTAAGCAGTGCTCGACTGCTGATAGCATGGTCGGAAGACATACCACAAGGAGTCATTGGTGTGGTGCTGGTGCTGAGATACGCAGGGCCTAACGGCATTGGATTTGCAGGCATCTCTGCAATTATCAGCACTATAAAAGGAGTTCTGATTCCCATTTTGCAGCATTTGGTCTTGGAATACCGCAAATCGCAGGTTGCCAGAGGCTTGGATGACATCCTGGGCACTCAGCAGAAGGCATTTTTGGAGAAGTTTTTGGCAAACTCTCCGGTGAGCCATGAGAGAGTACGGATTCAGGTTGAAGAGCCATTGCGGACGGAGTCCGGCAACTTATTGAAGAGGCTGAATGTCGACCTTATTGAAACCATGCAAGAGATGAGGCACAAGTGGCTGGCAGATGCTCGTGAGAAGATCAGATGCAAAGTTGTGGCCGGCTTTTTGAATAAAGGTGTCTCTACAACAGAGCTGTTTGATTTGGGACATATGACGGGAAATTGCAAAAATGCCGGCTTCTCAGCAAGGCAATGCAAGGAGGTGGCTACTTTCTCGGCGCAAAAATGTAAAGAGGCAGGCTTCTCCCCAAGTGATTGCAAAGAGGCGGGCTTCTCGTACAGCGAATGCAAGGATGCAGACTTCTCAATCCAAGAGTGCATTGAGGCTGGGTTCACCCCTATGCAGTGCAAGGAGGCAGGCTTTGTGGCCAAGCAGTGTAAGGAGGCAGGTTTTTTCGGCCAGAGACTTCAAGGATGCTGGTTTTTCAGCCGTTCAGTGCAAGATTGTCGGCTTTGAGGAAACGGTTTGCCAAGAGGCCGGCTACACTGCGGAAGAGTGGAATCGGGAACCTACTGCCCGAGATTACAAAGATGCAGGGTTTTCTGCTGAAGTGTGCAAGAGAGAGTACTTCACAGCCAAACAATGCAAGGAGGTCGGTTTTTCTATGTATGAGATTGGAGAGGAATTTGAAGCACAGCAGCTGAGAAAAGCTGGTTTCTTTGCCAAGGACTTCAAAGACGCTGGTGCCAATGCCACTTGGCTGAGGATTAGCGCCTTCTCCGCGAAGGAGTGCAAAGAGGCCGGCTGCTCGGCTACGGAGTGCTGGGAGGCGGGATTTAGTCCAGATGACTTCAAGGAAGCAGGATTCTCAGCGATGCAGTGCAAGATTGTCGGCTTTGACGTTGAAGAGTGCCAACAGGCAGGCTACTCTATGGAGGAGTTGACCCGTGAACCAACTACAAAAGATTTCAAAGATGCAGGCATGCCTGCCAAAGAGTGCAGGGTAGCCGGTTTCTCTCCGCAACAATGCAAGGAGGCCGGGTACTCAGCCAAGGAGTGCAAGGAAGCTGGCTTTTCAGCGAGAGAGTTCAAGCATGCAGGCTTTTCAGCTGTTCAGTGCAAGATCGTTGGCTTTGCTGCCAGCATTTGCCAAGATGCAGGCTACTCTCTGGAGGATGTAGCGCGTGTTCCCACAGCACAATGCTACAAGGCTGAAGGATGCTTTACCGAGTGCAGGGAGATAGGAGGCTT